CAGCCTGCCCCACAGCCCTGCCTGGCCATGCCGGGGCTGTGTCTGGCCCTGGCTCCCCTCCCTGGGCCGGACCCGGATCCGTGTCCTGGCACGGCCTCAGCCCGTCCCCATCCCAGCGGAGGGGCCTGAGGCTCGGGGCTGGGAGCTGCCAGGTCTCAGGGGGCCTGGCCCCCGCGGTGCCCTGACGCAGAGCTTCTTGCTCCTTACCACCTACTCCAGAGTAGCTGCTACATCTTTTTATAACATCAGGATAACCACACAAGTTTTTCTTACCAAGTTAAGACGAAGTTGTAGGGCTTCATGCATCATTTGCCTAGCTTTAACGTCATCCTGGTACCGTTCTTCCCTCCAGTTACTAAGGATCTAAGAAAAAGCATTTGATTATGGTTGTCTTCTTCCTGTAAAGGAACGTTCTCCCTTTGAAGTTTAAATATTTGTGACCATTATCTAAAAGGAATCATAAAAGATTATTAACCTTTTTATCCTCATGCCTGTTTAAGGCTTAGAGCAGATCAAGCAAACTAGCAGAGGAAAAAATTAATTGTAAAGAGCTGATAACCTGCTATCAATTGTGTGACTAGATCTTCCTGTTGTTGCAAGAAGAAAATAAGCAGCTTCATTATGCATTTATTAAGAATATTGTTTCAAATGCCCTATTTAACTGTTCGCCATGGGTAAGTAAATAGACCTCTTGCACTGAATGCAGCTTCCCAACGGGATCTCTGGATGAGAAATGACCAGAACCTTAGGGAACCCGGACCTTTCATTTCACTGCATTTCAGGGGAGAACCCATACAGCAAAACAAAAGCCCAACTGCCAGTAATACCAGGGGGAAAAAACATCAAAGGAATGAATTTAACTAGGATGTGGACCTACATCATAGCCTGGGCCTGAGCTGAGAGGCAACATGAGAAAATAACAGCCCTACAGGTAGGAATTTTCACTGTCGCAGTAATTCATAGAAACTAGAGACAGAAAAAAGCAAACATGCACCCACTACACTGGGCACTGTATATATTCACTTTAAAGACAGTCTTAAGGAGCTGTCGTAGGCTGGGACATAAACCAGATGGGAGCAGGAAGTCTAGAGCAGAGCCAGCAGAGGCTGTGAGTAAGCGCAAGCGATCCAAAGGAAGAGCTGGAGGCAATGGACTGGGATTGGTGATATTGTTTGCTAAAATATGAAAAACTCTTAATCTGTACCAACTAAAGAAGAAAGTTTCAAACTTTCTTTCAAGAAGAAAGTTTCAAAGTTTCTTCCTAAAGAAGAAAGTTTCAAACTTATAAAAACTTTTTATGATCAAGGTAGAGACTGAGAAGACCGTTCCTCTCAGGACAAACATCTTTTATTGTTTTTACAGGAAAGAAAGGAAATCAGATTCAAGTTCATTATATTTCTCTGTAACAATTTTAGGAAAAAAGATGTATTCACTCTCAAAAAGGAACAAACACCTCCCCATTCTTCCTTCCTTGGACTGTTCCTTGTGGCATACCATTACACTGTAATTTTCCTGGTTTTACACCATCATATACACATAAAATTGATGACACATAAAACATCTACCAAAGGGTGCTCATGGTTATGTGCTTGCTTTACCTGATTAACTTGATTCTGCAGTGATGTTAGAAGCCCTTCCCGTTGCTCATCCTGTCCCTTAAGGCAAGTAAGCACCAATGAAAGGAAAGGTTGCTGACTCAAAAGAGACATGCTTTGAGAGAGGCAAACACAGAAGTCAATTAGTAAAGTTATTTTGATACTTCCCATCCTCACTCCCTTCCTTGTTTTGTCTACTTCTTTTTCCCCTAGAAGTGGCATTGCCTGCATCTATGTCTGTTTCTGTTTTAGTAAATTAAAGCCTTGCCAGGCGAATTAGAAGAACATGCACGTAGGAAGGCAGAGCACCAGCTGGTAAAAATGCACACATTACGCATGTCATTACTAAGAACCCACCTAGCTCAGGGCACTGAATGACAGAGAATTGCATGGACACTCAAAGGCCTGACTCCGAAACAGAACATGTTATTTGAAGACTACTTTGATTAACCAGGGATATAATTTTAGCAGAGATTAGACAGCTGAAGTTTCTAATCCATGTCAGTGGTCTGAAGTGAATCCCAGGGAAGTTTCCCCTACAAGCACTGATTAGATTGACAGCTGCCTAAATTCCACTAGAATTCTAACATGGACTTAGAGTAATTACACTGAGATGCAGCTTTAGCTGGTTGTAGGAGACATGCCATACCAATGCAAGGGCTATCAGACTTCTTTAATTTTTTTTTTTAGATGAATATGTATCCATTATAAACATAAAATTAAGACAAACTGGAAGAAATACATGAAGATAAATTTGGAAGTACAATATGTGAAGTAGAAGAGAAGTTAAAAATGTCAGCAAAGGGATTTGAGTGACAGCTCATGCAATGATTTTTGCAGTTTCAGGTACGTAAGCTCCTTGAAAATTGCACGCATCTGTAAACACAATATAAGTACATATCCACACATACGCGTGTGTATTTATTACAAGTATTCATTTCAACAGTTATTTTCATTTGGCATTTAACTTGACTTCAACAATTTAGGTGACAATTAGTATAAAGGAATGGAAAAATCCCAAGGTCCCATAAAAGGACCAAAATAGAAAGTCTGCATTTTCAAAAGTCATGTTAAACAGTGATTTTTCAGAGTTTAGGAACAACATGGCAGGAACACCTCTTCATTTTCTCATTAATTTCCATTAAAAAAAAATTACAGTTTGCAAGACGGTTACTATTGCAATTGCTATCCCTGCTACACAAAGCAGAGTGTGAAAAAAGAAAAAGAGATCTTATATACGCTCTATAAGTATCATTGGTTTTGTCACTCACAGAGCAGTAGTATTTGTTTTTGAGCAAGAGATTGAAAAGCTTCAAAAAGCACACAAGGAAGTAATTTGTTGTTACAACCAGAACAACTTTGTAAATGCTTTTACTTCTGTGCATAGGAACCACCGTGGAGGAAGGGCTTGACAATTTCTACAGGCGTTTTATGTCGTCTTTGAAAGAGGCTTAGTTTAGATTTTCTACGCTAGAGCTTTCCTGTAGGAAAAGAAACGGAAGACCGAGAGAGGGTCCATATTCCCTTCTACTGATGCGAATAGCAAGAGAGCCAGTGAATAATGGAAAAGTGCCGAAATGCTCAGAAACGCCTCACAAAGAGATCTGGGAAGCAAGATGTCTTTTTTATCTAACAACAGATCAAGCAGGTACTACAAATGAATTAGAAGGACAAGGAAGAGATGGATTCATAAAGCTAACACAAAGCGTCCTTAACTCAAACACTGAGCATGGCAAACAGAACTTCTATAGGTCGATATATCACATAGGCAGCTTATTAAAGAAACAGCCCAGATGAACTAGGAGGGTCCAGCACAACACAGAGTAATGGGCATACTGCAATTATGACAGAAAGAAAAAAATAAATCTTCCAAGCTTAAAGGGAAAATAAGCTATGTGGAAGAGGCTGGAAAATAGCAGTAGATTTAAAAGTCTCCACAGAATTTAATGACAACCATAAGTCAAAATCAACATGTGCAACACAAGTTTGTAAGAGCACTACAAAGTGGCAAAGCCCAGTTACTGGTCCCACTCTCAGGGAAAGTACACTGCGTGAACAACGTCGAAGGTGATCGAAAAGACAATGCACGCTAGTAACACGTAAGAACAAGAAGCTTATGGTGGGACCATATACAACAATCAAAAACCACAAGCCTTTAAGAAGTGATTTGTTTTTTTGAACAACTGTACTTTGTAAGAACTTCACAAAAAGGAAGATGGTTGGTATCTGAAGCTAAGAGACCTTCTTGTGTATAGTGTTCAACATAATTTCTGTCATAACTCTTAATAAAGTACCAAGACATTATAGGAACTGTGGAAGAACATTTTACTAAAGGTATATCAATAACCACTAAGTCATTAAAATTCTCATGTGTTCGGAAGTTTAGAGATGAGCTTAAGCTTAATTCCCAACAGGAATTAAGTGGCATCTTACAACAATTATGGGATCTTAATGGCGGATCTTAATGGCAAGAAAAGTGTCTCACTGCCATAGAAGGGAAGAGACAACAAGCTCCCCGACTACTCTTTTAAATCACTAACATTTCCCACCACCAAGCTGCAGAATAGCTGCTGGAAGATGTGGTACAAAGCTTTCACATTTCTTCCTCTGAAACCAGTGATATTTCTTCAGACTAAATGAAACCTGAACCTTGTTTGGGGTTGATAACTTTTGGCTCCACAAAAGTGAACCAATGAGGTTCTGTGAAGGTAAAATCCAGTCCTCAGTATACTCCTCCTTCAAAAATACCTTTCAGCTCTGCGTACAGGGATTTCCCAAGGTCGTACCTTTTTTGTTTCTGTCTATCTCTTTCCTTCTTAGAAGATGACCCCAAATGCTGACCTTTCTCCAGCTCCTCTCCCGCAGCTTTCAAGACCCTACCTTGAACTGAGGTAGGCAGTTTTGCAATCAAGGGAGCCACCAGCCACACTCCTCGCCGCTCAGACGAACTAGAAGTAGAACAAACTTATTTCAGCCGAAATATCCACATAGTTTTGCAACCACTATTAGCTGTTATAAGACTGAACTGCTTTAATAAAGCAGTTGACACAATGCATCTGGAGTAAACTACTGTGGACTGAGCAGTCACAATTTCTGGTTTCCAGAAAATTCAAGAATAGCAATTATATTTATTGTTAAACAAAAGTAAATAGAAGTAACCTTCAGGTAACTCATTTCTGCACATTCCTGTTTCAAGTGCAAAAAAGTCTAGGCAATCTACACATAGTTAAGCATCATGTTGGCTAAAACGATTAAAAAGGTGCTACAAAAAATACCTTAGGAATGTCTTTTTACCATTCTGTCTTGTATTACTTGTGTCAGCATTTCCAACAGAGTTTGGATTGAAGAGGCCTATACCAGAGTTAGAAGAGTTATTGTTTAGATCAGCGGATTGCTGAAACACCTCTATTGTCGCCTTTGCAATATTATCCAACAAGCTGTTCATTTCAGCCACAGACCCAGAACCCTACAGTAAAACATAAGTAAACTAGCACATTCATGGTATGCTTGCTCATGGACTACGTTAAAATTTAACATACTTTTTTTCATTAAATATTTACATAAGAAAGTTTGAAAACAAATACTCACAGGCTCCTTCATGCACTGTTTGATCATTAGTTGCAGCTCCAACCAAGACTGCCGGAGAGTCCACTGATCTAAGTTCTAGGTAAGAATTAACATTATAAATACACATCAACACTTTACAGGTCTGAAGAAAAAATAATAAATCTCATAATTGCATACATTACACGCAAAAGCCTCATCTTAGAAGCAGATCAGCACAGTCACTACTCTTTTTAATAGCCTAATATAATCCCAAAATATCAGACCTATTAAAGAATGCACATTAACTTCCAAATCTTTGCAGCTAAATATCGTTACTCAATACTTTTAACTGTGCAACTTTTCTGAATAAAAGTCTTGCTCTCTGCAAAATCTGAGTTTAGTTACACATAAATATGGAAAACATAATTCGCTCTTTCATTAGTAATTGCATTAATCCATGGCATTGCCATCCAAGTGGACATGTTTGTATTTAGCACAAGGCCACCTAGACACAATTAAAGTAAACGCAGCAGTTGAAGCGATTATTTTGCAGGGCAATGATCACCGTTTGTCCTGGTCTAGATATTGCCAACTTGATTCTTCACAGGTCTATTCCAAGAAAATCCATTTTGTAGTTTAAGAAATGAAGTGTCCCTAATGCAGCTGAATTTGAAGAAATGATCCGGTTAGGACTGTCCGTGAAGGCGTTTGAGCCTTTTCCACAGAGTAGGAGCGTCTGTCACCACAGAACGGTCACAGGTGCCTACAGTGGGCACCTCCCCCTAAGCAGCCCTAAAAGCAGCTCCCCTTTCAGGGGCTTCCTAATGACTGACAACGATGAACAGCAATGATGAGCGTGCTGCACGCTTGTTTCCTCCGTACTGTGGAATCACAAGTAAGGAGACACCAGACAGACGTCGCACTATAAAATGTTAACACAGAGACTGGGGATCCTGAGCACCTACAATCTTTAAAGAAGAATCTAATGCTAGATTGCACCAGGAACTGCAAATCCATGTCACTTGGTGGTGCTGCTGAATGACAGCTTAAGAGTCAGTGCATCACCGGTAGTTTTTCCACCTTTTCCCCACTGCATTACCTGAAGTATGCGTTTGATATGCTGCCTCTGAGGGTTATCACCCTCGGTGCATTCTTTAATACCATGAGGATAACAGATAAGTTGAAGGAGTTTCTGTGCTTGTTTGTTTGAAAGAACGGGATCCAAAATAAGATCTTTGTCTGTGCACAGCCTCTCGGGTTCTTTTAAGCAATGCTCTCCAACCCATTCCTGTAAGTAATCAGATAACAGATTCACAAGATGGTTTCAAGGCAATATTAACTTTTGGTAAGCTAAACAGAAAAGTGATTTTTCCATATGCAAAACTTGAAGTCAACTATGGTTCATGCAACATGTGAGATTAGAAACATCTTCTCTCACTCAGTACCACCTGAAAGTATAAGACTGTTAAAAGGTTCTCCAAAATTAATTTGTTCTGTACTTCGAAAGCAACTTTGCAATAAAACAAATGTTACTGCAAAAGCACTTTGAGCAGACAGCTGATGGAGTGGTCCCTACTGCCTTCAAAGTGCTCAAGACTCAGACAGGAAAAACACCTCAATTCTGATAGAGCATAGGGAGATGCTAATAACTAACTAAAGCAATTTTTTCCCCCCAATAACATACTACTCCTTGTATAAATTGTCCAAATCAGGAAACCCAAACAGAAAAATATTGAAACACCTCAACACTCATTTTGCACCAAAATATATGTTACACTGTTCAGATAAAATAAAGTTTCTCCAAATGAAGACAGAAGAGTAGTTCTAGAGATTACCTGCTGGCAAATTGTTCTTAGCACATATCTAGCATACTCGCTCAAACTAGCAGTTTCTATGGAAACAGCTTTTCCGCATGGTTTCAAAGTGTGAGAGGAACCCCAGATTTCATCCTCATTGAGTTCATCTAGTAAGTCTCTCATATGGAAGTCTTCACTCTTCAAGGAGTTGACATTGCTGCTGCCAATTTCAGCGTCGCCTGTACAGCAGAAGCACAGAAGCACGGGGTGAACTTTTACCCAAGCCCCCGTGCCCCCAGACCGCTTACCCGCCGAGGGACGTCTTTGGAGGCACAGGCCCGCTGAGGAGTAAGGCAGGAGTGAGGCAGTGGCATTCAAAAAGGGCAGCACTAACTGACTCTGAAAATCACCATCATGTTCAAGTACTGCCCACTTGTTTCATTTTGCATAGCATCTTTTTAATGGATATTTCGGAAGTAGGAAAAGGTTTATATAAAATCAAACACAAATAAAGCTGCTATGTGCTCGACAGGGAAAGGTCTGTGAGCGTACGGAATTGCTTTGGCAGATAAGGAAGAGTTGGGTTACTCGGTCTTCTCAGATGTCCCCTTTCCAAGTCTGTCCTACTTTGATTTATTAACACTCCATACATTAAGAGACAAGTTTTGAGCAGCGGCCCCTTAGCCCACCTTACTACGAACTTCTTGACAAGAGAGATTGATCTTGCTGGGAACGGAAAAGGGCAGAGAACGCTGAGGGAGCCTGGCAAACACTGGTGAGCACCTTCTCTCTGCAAGGCACCGGCACAGCTCTATGACCACCTGAAACCAACCAGGGCAACTGGAGAAGCGAGGAAAAATACTTCGGACGCAAAAAAATCAGACCTGTAGCAGTTCACATTTTACATGTTTACTGGCCTGAAACGTTGGACAACGAAGAAGATGCAACCATAGCGTGTAGTAGTGAGGAAAACAGCCCAAACTGCTGCACATAGTAATACCCTAGAGCCTGTGAGGCCATCCAGGAGCGTGCATGGTGACAGCCTGCATGAGAAGCGGGCTGACATAGCCTAATGTTTTAAGTCAGCAGAAATTCCTGTGGACCTTCACTGATGCACCGCATATGATAGTCATCCCTTAGAAAACCCCTCAGTTTACTACATAGATCAAGGGCTAACATGACGTGACAAGGCTCACTGGCTTGCTTCAGCTGTTCAAACACACATTCACACCGGGGCCTCTGGTTACACATATGCTAGGATCTTTTGCTAAGATCTACGACTAACAGCGAAATATTTCAAGCTACCGCACCAAGGACACTGACAGCCTTTCAGCAGCTGTGGCCACATCCCCAGACTACTACACATTTACACAGAGTGCTCAAAACACCACGGTGCACTGGGTCCTCCTGCACGCTCAGTTCTCCCCGTCACCGTTTCTGTGTTCCCTGGTACTGCATTACCCTGGAGGAAAAAAATGAGGGTTTAGTAGAGTTACTGCCAAGAAAAACAGCCAACACTGGTGTTTGTGCTGCTTTAGAGTTACGCCTATGTAAACAGCATACAATCCTTTTCTTGACAAGACTGAACTTTTATTGAACAGTCTATCAAAAGCAGAGCCCCGACTCACTGTGACAGACCAGCCTGCACCCTGACAGCATGTCCCGGCGGGCGGCAGCGGTGGCCGTCACCCAACAGCACACACTTCACCCCCGAGCCCTCGCCAGCTCCGCACGGCTGGCCCGGCACGCTCACCCAGCTCTCCACCATGGCAGGCATGCTCCTGCCCCATCTCCTCTGCGCAGCCCATTGCAGCACAAGGCATCAACTCCTTGCAGAGAGGGGAGAGACTGAATAAACAGCGTTGTCACCCATGGGACAGAACAGAAATGATTTTTAAGTAGGCCAATAGCAAAACAGTAGAACATACCCTGAGAAGTGAGAGCAGTTATAATCCCTCTGTTCCTCCAAACCCAGGCAAATCCAAAAACCCCCGTACCACTGCCCCAGTGGCTGGCAGAGCAGACACATCAAGCCCTGCAGAATGCAAAGCCTGGGACAAGCTGATTGCGAAGAGCGTGGGAAACAAGCGGACGTACGTCTGTGCCCAACGCAGGTGAGCAGACGGCAGCAGCAAACAGCCCATCCACACCCTCCCTGCACTCAAGCATCTTACGAGCTTGTGCGTGCAGCCATATCAAGCCCAAATGTGTACCCATGAAGGACAAGAGGGAAGAACCTGGCAGGCAAATAATACGATGAAGAGATCGATCCCAAGCCACACATGAAGCTAAAGCCATCCCAGAACGCTTTGATAAAGCGTGTCAAGATTTAATACACCCTAGAGCAGTTGACTGCAGCACCGTCTTTCATTGTGGGTAGAGATTTTTTTTTAACACAGATTTCTACTGACAAAGCTTCCTCAGCACAGAACTGAAACAGCTATCATTTATCTGATGCTTTTCCTCAGCAAATCAAGTACAATTTTTAAATAACTAATGCAGGGTGCCAAGAAGAGACATCTCCAAATATAACATTTTGAGTATAGGAGGAGATGAGCTGCAGTGAAGGCACAATGAAACTGTGTGTCCAGATTTTCCTTCATACCACCCTGCACCAGACCCCATCCAAACCACGTCCCTGCATAGAGACGAAACAAGTGTTCACACGACACACCATTAATGAAGAAAAATAGCAAATCTCAGCACTCTGAATAGCAAGAGAACACAGGTAACGGCCATAAACGTGTTTCAAACTCACTCTCAAATCCATCAGTCCATCCCAGATAGCTAACATCTCTCCCAATATAGTCACATAATTAAGGATCATGGGATTTTTAAAACAGTTCTGAGACATTGGCCAACAGAGAATATAATAATGGCACTCTAGCTGGAGGTATACCTCTGTGGGTATGTCCACAACTGGAAGATCTTGCTTGTTTAACTGGACATTTACTTAGCTCCAAAAATACACATCACCATAGGTCACAAGATCTTTAACTGAGCTTAAGCCAAAGCAAAGCTCCACGGGAGTTATTTATTTGGAAAAATAGCACCCGTCATTCGTGGAGAGTTGCTTAGCAGTGATTCTTTTGCAACTTCCACAATGACACACACACGTGGTTTGCGGTAAAACACAGAAAAAGGTGGGAAAAATAATCTGAGACCATATTTCCTCTCTATATTTGAGAGGGACTCACATGAGATTGAAATGTACCGGGACTTTGTGGCGGGGTTAGGGGTCAAAATGTGAAAAAGTCACATCTGCTTAAAGCCTCATCAGCTGGGGCTGACTCACCAGAGAAAAATTCTGTCTCTTGACCTGTGGGGGAAACGCTACTCACATGCTACAGAAGCACGGACAGCATCCACATTTTTTGCCTGTCATCAGGGTTTTCCTTTCCCAGGAGCATTCCCAGGGAAGTGAACTAGCACGATCTGTTTTCTATCCGAATGCTAGAACAAAAACATTAGATATGACTCTGCATAATCTTACCAAGCATCAAAATTGCTTTTAAGACTGCAAACACAGCTCCCACTTCTATACTGTTGTGAGCAGCAGCCAAGAGGTGACGATCACAAGAAGAACGAATTCCCGGAAATAATTTCCCTATGGAAAGAAGAGTAAACCTTGTAGAAAATGTTTGTTATTTACTAGCTAAAATTGCCTTTGTACAAAATCCTTTTCATCTAGAATAGCTACAGAAATACAACAACTGAATGAAGAACTGAATTTTCTGAAATTGAAACTGAAGACCAACAGGTAAGTCATTAAAATCAACTGGGATACACGTTTATGATGTATTAATATCAAAATAAGCTATGATCATTTAAATAGAAAAAGGAGCCTGTCACTTCACGGTGTCCATGTAAATGGTGAATTTAACCACGAGACACTGAAGTGTATTTTGGTTTTGACTTCACAGATTTAGGACATTACTTCCCTCACCTAGTCTTCATAACAAATGAGGCAAAATGAATTAATATAAATGCCTGTTGCACACTTATGCCTAATTCTGCTCAGAAGCAAACTGCAAAAGCAGTCAGCGAGTGCTTTTTCTAACTTGAAGGAGAAGATAAACAGACTGAAAAACAGGGAGGGAGAAAGGAATGATGAATGTCCCACCCTTCTGAGGAGGTTAACTGAGCCGTATGTAAGAAAAGTCTGTAACGTGGTCACATTTTGTTTGGTTTGTACTACTCCTAGAGTTCAGACGTGATTCTTCCTATCCATTCAAACCTTTTTATTTCTAGGGAAGCCTGGGACCACGTAACATATTTCTGTTACTCAGACTGTATTCTTCGCAGCTCTTATTTATTTTGCTCGAATATGCAACAAAAGCTCATTCATTTCTGGTCAAAAAGAAAGTAATATTTTTAGATGGAAGAATTTGACACCACTTAAGAGCTGAAAAAATGTTTTTCTTTCAATTTAATTTTCCCATACATATAGTGTTGCCATCAAATTTGCTTAAACGCTTATAAGTCAAAACACAGTCTTGTTTCCTTTTAATTGTTAGGTGCTTGTTCCTTGCCCTTTTCCTTCCTCTTTTGGTCTGTGGCAAACATACACAGGTCAGACCACAGAGTATTCAAATTTAAAAGGAAAGAGAACTACATTAATGTATTCTGAGAACTAATTTCCTCACGTTTCTTCTGTTGGACTAGATGCTTTATTTTTTTTAGATGCTTTTTATTTTTTCATTTATTATTACTAGATGCTTTACCCTATTTAAAATCACATTTAATTTCAATTTATGTGCAAGGCTACCAAACTGCACAATGAACTATTGGAACAGAACAGTTCTTCTAAATGTATTCCTCTTTGCTGAAGTGTACACAGATGCTGTGTTAAAACTTAATTTTCTTTTTTAAGATGTAATATTAATACAGCTGAGTTTTATGTCAACGTTATGCCACACCTGGGTGGCCAGGTGTTGATAACGAGTAAGTTTCGGCAAACTTCTATAGTTCTACATGCATATAAAACTTTTCCCAAACAAATAAGAATAGTACACATCAACTTTTCACCAGTGAAACATCTGTAATTTTAAACAGGCTGTCATTTCTACATGCACTACGGACATTTTCACACATGAAATCTGAAGCCATCAAACCCCATCTGGGTTCACTTCCTGAAATGAAAGGACCACGCAGCAGGCAGCTTACCTGTTCCCTGGGGAAAGAGGCAGACCTGGGGGGTCCTGAAGAGGTGCAGGAGCAGCCGACAGGTCATCCTCGCCCCAGGCTCAGCATCCGGATCTCCACAGGCTACGGAAGATGGGATGTGGGCATCAGGCATCTGCCCAGGACCTCACAAGTCCCAGTGGCAGGCCTGGAAATGTTCTACCTCACAGCCCCATTTTAAATGGGAACACAATAATTTCATCAACAAGAATCAGCATTTACGGCCTTGAGTCATTAAAAACCAGGAAAGAATAGTATGATTTTTGGTAAGCAAGAGACCTAATTAATGGCAGAAAAGAATACATGGTTAAAATGGCTTTTTTGACAGTCAAAGCAGAAATAAGAAACACAAATCCAAGCAGAAAGTGAAAAGAAATGTGTGAAGTGGCCAACAAAGAGGACCACAGCTACAGTACTCCAGGGCTGGAGGCAAAGACAGTGAGGCCAGGGAGAAAAAGCCAGCATCAGGCAGACTGAGGCCAGAAGGAAACACACGATCCGAGTGGATCCGGCAGACATCTGAGCATACAGCGGAGAGCAGAAGAGAGTCGTGAGCAGAAGGTGAGGCTGCGTAACAGAAAGGGACAGTGCGCCGTCAGCAGCTCTGGTACCACTTGGCACGCGTGGGTTCCCTAACTCGGCGTCGCTCCTTTTGGGAACTGCAGGGACACACGCTGCAACACACAATCGGTGCCATTCCATACAAGAACACAGTTCAGAACACGCTGCTTATTCGATCAGTGGAGATCTCTTAAGAACTCTTAAGTTTTTCATTTTAAGTATTTCTCTCGCTGTTTTCTTACCAGCTGCAAGAAGAGAAGGCAGCGCAACATGCTGCACTACATCTTCCAGAGAAAAGCACTGCCGGGCGATCAGTATAGCAATGAAAGTGGCCAGGGAATCGTGGAACGACAGGTCACTCACCTTGAAGGAAAAACATTGCAAGGCTTCACATAACAGCGCACACACCGCTGCCCCAATTATTAAGGAATTAACTAGAAAAATGAACAGTAAAATGTTTACACGTAAGCATTTGTCTCTACACTTTAATGCATTTCCCAAACATTTCATGGCAAATACTGATAGCTCTTAACTTAGTTTTAACAAACACCTATTTCTAATACCAGAAATTAATTCTGAAATAAAAAATATTAATCTTATAAAAAGCAGAGAAAAATTAATCATTCTATAAAAACTGATAATATCAATACTCATTCCTTAGCTTCAGGACAAGAATATGTCCCCAATGTACACAGCTTCAATCTGGTCCTAAAGCCATGTGTAGTCAAACTATAGATAAATATATGTAATCAGATATTGAGTAACATCAGTCACCATAATCCTGCTGACTTTAACAGGACTACGGTAACTTACACCAGGTGAGTAAGGAACAGCAAAGTGTCCCACCCCTTCTACAATCTAAAAAACCAAAACAGGGTCTTGAAAATAGAGATATTTGCACATCCATCAGCATTTTAGAAAAAGTATGTGGACATGCCTGCTCCTTTCAATGAGTACCTCTGATATTCTGTATAATTCCATAATAAAGAAAAAAAAAATACAAAGAGAAAACTCTAAGCACTTCCCAAATTCTACATTAACCTTGAAGATGTAGGAAAGAATAAAAATCAATCAGGAATCTCATTGAAAGCCTTGAAAACTCAAATGGATACAGGACTAGATTCGTGCTCAGCATTTTGTATTGAACAGAAACCTTACTCTAGTTCTAACACACCCTCGGTAAATAGGTTTAACAGGTACTTCAGAAGATACTGAACTTACATCCACACTGCAAAGCAGATCGTTGAAACCCCAGACATGATTCGAAGAGCAGCAAAGAGCTTTTACGACCCCTAACCACTCTGAGCTAAGCACCGTGCAGCATGCCGTCAGCTCTGCGCAAAGGTTTGCTATGTCATTAATCCTAGGAAAGAAGAGAAAAACTAATACAGAAGCACAGAAGCAAGATATTTTGTAAGCAATAAACACTTAGATCAAAGCAGATCAGTGCGTGGCAGAAGAACCAGAGTTTCCTTACTTAAGGTGGGGGTTTATGTCCAGATGTGACCTATGCTACTGGACATATAACCTAGCGTTACTCAGCTGTGCGCAACTGGAGCATCCGGAAAAGAAACAGTATGCGACTGGTACCCCATAACTTGCATCCACCCAACCTACAGTAGCATAGGGCCTTTATTTTATGTAAACCCTACTTTTGTACGCCCTGCGTCCAGACCAGCTTCCCTACCTGTGCTGAGCTGCCCAGGAAGAGCGCTGGAGCACCCGAACTGCTGCCTGCAGCCCACCACGACAGACGACCTGCCCCTCTACAGGGGCACGCTCTGGCCTTCGCTCAGTGCTGCCGCACGAGCAGCAGCCCCAGCCGCTTTCATGCAAAAATGCCCCAGGGAAGTGGTGGGTGTGTGGTGCCCGTCTCCCCAGCCCCAGGCCACCATTGCTGCAGGAGCCCTCCCTCCCTGTGCCAGGCCAGCACTACTGTTCAGGAGGGAGGAGAGAGTCACAAAATCAACTGGCATTAATGAATTTTGCTTCGTAGACGGCACACTGTGTAATGTGTCATTCGGTGTATGATTCAGAGTTATGTAACATTTCAAAAACCAGAGCAGAGTTGACTCATCCCAGTGCAAGTTATTTTTTCTCTGTTCCACAGCGCAACTCATTTGGCCACATTTAGATGTTCCCCTTTGTTGCTCTTACAAAACTACTTCCTCTCAGCTGCTCTGCCAAGGATGCCCCACATTTCACAGAATCACAGAATGGTTTGGGTTGGAAGGCACCTTTAAAGGTCGTCTGGTCCAACCCAGTGCCGCGGGCAGGACACCTTCCACTAGAGCAGGCTGCCCAAAGCCCCGTCCAACCTGGCCTTGAACGCTTCCAGGGACGGGGCATCTGCAGCTCCCCGGGCAACCTGTGCCAGTGCCTCACCACCCTCATCGTAGAACGTTTCTTCCTTATGTCCATGTTAAATCTACCCTCTGTCAGTTTGAAACCGTTGCCCCTTGTCCTGTCACTACAGGCCTTGGTAAAAAGTCCCTCTCCATCTTTCTTATAAGCCCCCTTTATATACTGAAAGGCCGCCAGAAGGTCTCCCCCAAATCCTTCTCTTATATATTGAAAGGCCGCCAGAAGGTCTCCCCCAAATCCTTCTCTTATATATTGAAAGGCCGCCAGAAGGTCTCCCCCACATCCTTCCCTTCTCTTATATATTGAAAGGCCGCCAGAAGGTCTCCCCCAAATCCTTCTCTTATATATTGAAAGGCCGCCAGAAGGTCTCCCCCAAATCCTTCTCTTCTATATATTGAAAGGCCGCCAGAAGGTCTCCCCCACATCCGTCTCTTCTCCAGGCCGAAGAACCCCAGCTCCCTCAGCCCTTCTTCACAGGAGAGGTGCTCCAGCCCTCTGACCGGTTTTGCGGCCTCCTCTGGAGCTGCTCTGGACGTGTCAGAGATGGCTTCATACTGGGGACGGGGAGAAGGACACAGGAACTGCACACACTTTGGGCAGGAGTCACTCAGAAAAGAAAAGAAAAAAAAACCAAAACCACAATTTCCTTGAGTTTTGTGATCTGTCAGCAACCTTAAAAAAGACTGTCAGCTAGTGCTGCATCTAGGCCTAACTATGAAGACCAAGAATTTCTTAATAAAAATTGGAACAAAATCGGAACAGAACACCGAGGTCTGGTGGTTTTGATTGTGTAAGAGGAATAAAGGTGCTGGGGGGCAGAGGTACAGGCTAGATCCAAAAATCAGCGTCCATTTCACCCTGCATCGCAGACTCTGCAGAATGGGAGGCCAGGGTAAAACAGTTTCAACGCTGCAGCGCTACATCCGCACGAGGCGGCAGAGTTGATCGCTTGACACACGGGAAGGAGGAAGCAACTGAGAGAAGAACATCTCAATTATGAATGAAAACATACTGTCAGCGTAAAACCCTGACCCTGACGTTAGGCTGCCTCCTGCAAGGGTTCTTCACTATACTTCTGGTCAGTACCTTGAGATCATCTAGAAAGATCTAGCATCGGCTTAAGGCCCAAGAAGCGTCATGCTGGACCAGACCAGAGCTCCAGCTGGCTGTGACAGGAGCCAGCACCCGCTGGTGTCAGAAGGCAGCCACAGTACGACAGTGCTGGACGACCTGCTGAAGGGCAGGTCTCACCCCTACCTCCCACCGCTGGGCATCGGCTTGAGCTGCGCACCGGGAGCGCCAAGCTGTTCTTAAAACAGAACCGACAGCTGCTACAACAGTGTGGCCAGCAGGAGCAGGGAGGGGATCGTCCCCCTGTGCTCGGCGCTGGTGAGGCCGCACCTGGAATGCTGTGTCCAGTTTTGTTCCCCTCAGCACAAGGAGGACATTGGGGTGCTGGAGCGTGTCCAGGGAAGGGCAGCGGAGCTGGGGCAGGGTCTGGAGCACAGGGCTGGTGGGGAGCGGCTGAGGGAGCTGGGGGTGTTCAGCCTGGAGAAGAGGAGGCTGAGGGGAGACCTGATCGCTCTGCAGCTCCTGGCAGGAGGGGGCAGGGAGGGGGGGCGGGCTCTGCGCCCACGGAGGGGGGTCGGGCTCTGCTCCCAAGGAACAGCGACAGGACGAGAGGGAATGGGCTCAAGCTGCGCCAGGGGAGGTTTAGGTTGGATGTTAGGAAACATTTCTTTATGGAAAGGGTGGTCAAGAATTGGAACAGGCTGCCCAGAGAGGTGGGGGAGTCCCCATCCCTGGAGGGGTTCAAAAAACGGGCAGAGGTGGCACTTGGGGACATGGTTCAGTCTGGTCTACCCTTGATTGGTTTAGTGTGGACTTGGTAGTGTAGGTTAATGGTTGGACCGGATGATCTTAAAGGGCTTTTCCAACCTAAATGATTCTATGATTCCATGATTCTACAGCTCTAGTAGCTTCTATCCAATAAAACTCTTAATACTTCTTAAAAAATATTTTTGGAAAATCTATATATTACCTGTGAAGATGAATTCCATCATTAATAAATTACACATTTAATAACTTAAGCACTGACAGCATCAGAAGGAAATGACCTAATGCAGAAGCTTCCCTCATTTACAGGTTTCTAATGAGCAAAGATTGTGCTGAGCTGTTCTGTCTGAAACGGCACAACTGCTGATACAAAAAGCTTACTGACTGTCTCACAGTGAGTACTTTCTACCTGTTACTCCCTTCTGGTAAATTATGCACTGATTCAATGAAATAACTCAGAGGAAACTTACTCAATAAATTTTCAGCAACCAGAACGAGTAATGAATGAAAACAATTGCAAAAAAGACACAAAACAAAAAGGTGAGAGGAAACCTCATATCTAGCACGTAAAAATCCATCCGGTTCCGATTCCAGCACAGTTTGCCTTACCTTCCTGCATCTTGGTGCCCCATGCACACGTTCATTAGTGCATTGCAGACAAAGCTGTAGCGGTTGGCTGCGTTATCGCTCAGGATCTTGCCCAGCATTGAGTAGTTAATGCTGTGAGCAGAAGGATTCTCAATAAAATCTAGCATGAACTCTGGGTCCCACAGTAAATTGGAATTTGAAGGCTGAACATTGCTGTATATTGTTTGCTTCACCTTAGAACAGGCACTACTGAGGACCAAAAAAAAAAGAGAGTTGCCAGTAAATGTACTTTGCAGCAATACTGTTGAACATACCACGTGGGATTAGAAAACCCTAGTTTGGTTACCATTCTGCACGCACTTTCAAACTCATTTATGATAAGGAGCATCTACCAGAAAATAAGGCTGAAACATTAATTTCCTTCAAGTTTTCCTGCAAATAAAGGCTCAAATTTCCAAATCGCTTCTATGACATTTCTGTGACTGAAGTTGTGAGCAGCTGGGTAAGGACCGCACGTTCACTCCTCACTAGCCACAGCTTCCTGGAGCACCAGATGCCCCTCCGTGAACAACAGCCGTGCTTCCTAACGCTGCTCCCCCTCTGTGTGTGTTGTGACGCAGCGAACTGCAGCGGCGGTGGGAAGAATTAATCGCGGGAAAGTGAGAAAAATTATCCAAATTAAAAACTCTATGTTTGGTAATAATGTTACATAACAGACAACTTTTTGAGAAATTAAATCAGTAAACAGGGAAAAAGATACTTAAAGGTCATATTTTGACACTAACAATTATGACAACAGGTCAAGAAATGTTCCAGGCTAGGAATACCTACACGTTAATTGGCTTTCTTTGGGGGGGGGGGGGGGGGGGGGGGTGGGGGAGCAGAAAAAATGCAAATTCCACACACAAAATGTTCTAAGGAGCATTTGTCTCAAGCGTTGGGTTTTATACCACAGCTGGAAACAACACCCATGTAGACAAACTTCGCTAATTATCCCAACTGGGAAGACTTTCTCATTACTGAAAAAAATCTATTAATTGAAATTAACTTCAAATACATGAAAACTTTGGAATTTCTTTAGAACTCCACTGGCCCCAGGATGAAAAGACAGAGGTAGCACTGTGCCACCTGGAAGGCATCCGTGAGGGGCTTGGAGGGCACCCCTGGGGACACCCGGCCTGCAACCCCTGCTCCTCACCCGCATGCTCCAGGGCAGGAGAAAGGGGCCGTTAGCAGGATAATTAATCTACCATAAGGGTAAGGCCTGACGTTAACCCTTTGCTCTAACAGGCAGCGTAACAGCAAAGAAAGAAAACCAACCAGTGGAAAACAAATAGCCCATACCTCAAAGATCAGGCACTGTTTAAAGGGGCTCTCATGTACCAGCGTCCTGGGCGCATCTACGTCCCCGACACCCGGTCAGCACAGCATTTCCCT